TCCCGGTTCCAAGCAGCGCATAGGGCAGTGACACAACGCTCTCGTGAGCCTCCGACAAGGGTCTTGAGGCGTTCCAGCACCTGATTCTCCCCTGAAGCAATGGGATCAATGCTCGCCATATCGGATGCTCCTGACCCAACCAATGTGAGCATCTTAGACAAGTAGTGAACACCACTGATGGAGTTTGACCAGGGCGGCCAAAATGCAAGCTTCTCCCATGCCTCACCTCTCTTGGGTGATGGCGGTGGCAGGTTATTCGGGTCAAAGTTGAATCGAGGATCTCGCGCCGAAGTCGGTGTACGGCCACCAGATCTAGGGGTGTGTGGTACAGGAGAAGGTGAGTTTGGAGTTGGCGGCAATGGTGAGAATAATAGTGAGACATCTTCAGGTGGCAGATCCACAAAGAAGGCAAAGACGTGCTCGCGTAGCATATCCACCAGTTCGACTGCTCCCTTCCGCAACTCGGCGATACTCTGTGGCGATAGATCGTGATGGTGTTTGGATTCTCCGAGATAACCCACTGGAAGAGTTGCTTGCGCCTTGCCGTCAATGAACCCTGAAACCATCTGCCAGAAATCCACCACCTCGGCGAGAATACCCTTGGACGACAACAGGCTGCTCAGGAATGAGAGCATCTTCTCCCAAAGTTCAATCACATCGGCAGAGTCAAAAGTCAGGGGCTTGCCTTCGATTACCGGCCGGCCAAGGGATCTCAGATGAGCTGCGATCGTGTTGGGGTTTGGTTTATCGGCGACAGCCAGCCTGCGACGAAGCACCTCAATCTCAACCTTTGAGCGGTCCGCTGTTGACTGGATCTTGCCCTTGAGATAATCATATCGGCTCAGGAGCCAGACCCAGATAGGGTTATCGTCAGCGCCAAGCTCAAGGAGCAGACTAATGAGCTCCGTGTGCTGATCTGAGCCTCTGCCCGTCATCGTTTCCGACTTGGATGCCGTGTGAAGGGTGACGAGCCTCTTCCATACATCGCGCTTGAAGCTTCGAATCTGTTGGTCCACGTCATGCCACATCCGCGCCGCCATCAATAGTTGATAGAGTTGCGGCTCAGTAGGAGTGTCTCCCGCCAGGTCATCGGATAATCGCCGCGCTTCATCCGCAATCTTCCTGGCCTTGTTAACCTCCTCGACGAGTGACTCATAGTCCTTGCGCTTAATGCTGTCAGCTACTTGGCTGCTCAGCTCCACGTAGTCCTTGAATCTGGTCATGTGGTTCGACACGGTTTTGAGGTTCTCTTCCTTTTCACGTCCTCCCAGGGCGGGACCCCAGACATCCTCAGCCTTGGCCGAAACGTCCAGTAGAGGGGCCTTGATACCCAGAACGCCATATTCGCTCTCCTTGGTAAGCGCGTTCTTCTTGCGCGTATCAGCAGCCGCAGGTGACCCAAGGGGGTTGCTGAGTCCCAGTCCAGGTCCGACGCTGTTCCGGAAGCTACTGCGACTAGCAGCGCGGGAATGACCACGAGCGCGGGTGGAAGGCGGTTCGACGCCGCGGTATTTCATCTCCTTATAGACATTATCTATAGTGGCTTTCGCCTTGACGAATCTTTCAAAGTTCGTCTCAACCAAGACTTTCAGTGAAGCCGATTTCTGATCGATGGATTGTGAGAGAACGTCGAGACCGGTGAGCAAACTTCGAGTGTCGGCAGTCGCATGCATCTGTGAGAGGAAAAGCGCAGGGGAGAATGTCGTCGAGGAGAGGAGAAATCGGTTTCCTGAGTATCATGCCAAGTCAGTCTCCGTCCAACGATAACTATAGGCGACGCGGTGCCGTACGGAGACGGTGGTCATCTTGGAGGGGTAGGCCAAGATGCTTCAGCGTTCTAACGACGCTGTCTGTGGTTCCCAAGGGGTCTGGCTCATCTTTCTGAACCAGGTTTCCAACACCGCCCTTGCCACCTTCTGAGCCTGGGATCACGCTCTTTCGCGTGCTCACAGCTCTCTCAAGCGCCTGGTATCTGGACTGTCTTCGCTGCAGCTTGACATTCTTCTCGTCGTCGTCCGAGTCAAAATCTTCCAGGTCCTTCTCGGCCGGCCATTCTGAAGGATACAACGTAGGGATCTGGTAGAAGTCGAGGATTGTGCGCTCGGTGTCGGCCATGATGACGACGGAGCTTGCTTAAGCTAAAGGTGGGACGGGGACAATCAGGGGATGCGGCGCATGCTCGTTTCGGTGGGCGGGTTGAATTGCGCCTGGCCGGCGCTAGCAGAAGCAGCTCCTCTGCTTAATATGGGATCCGCTCGTGACGATAATTCGTGTCGTGATGCCTTGTTACAGCGGCCGTCGTGCGAGGCGACGTTGGTTTAAAGACTCGATGCTGTGCTGTGAGCTGTAACTAAGCTGCCGCATGCATGTGGCTGGGCCGTGGTGGTGAAACGCTCCAGCCTCAAGTGTGTGGCTCAAACCTGTGACGTGCATGGCCTAAGCGCGCGGTGTGGCTAGTGAGGGTCTTGCTAGCAACAACTGAGGCGCGGCTGCCCACCGGCCCCTCGTCGGTTCGGAGAGCCCGTTAGGGTAGCAACAAAAAAGGTGCTAAGCGGAAGTCCGGCGGCATACGAGGCTTGTAGCCGACACAAGATCTAGAAAAAACGCGGAAAAGTGGAGGTAGGTGGACCCGCGCGCCACAATTACCGCAGGATATCCACAATTGCCCGTGGCTCGCAGTGGCTAGTGGCTCTCTTTGGGGTGTCATTGTGGCTCGTCGGCTCGCAGCATTGGCCCATTCGTTCTTTTCGGCTCACCCATCCAATGCCTTGCCCTTGGAAACTTCTAACTTTTGGTCCCATCAACTCTTTCTCTCAAGAAACCTCTCTTTTTTTCCATTCCTTCTTCTCCACGCCTCTCCCCTCCTCCTCCTTGTCCTTGTTTCTCCCGCGGTAGTCATCCCGTCTAATTGCATCGCTCGTCCTCAAAATGCTGGCCATTCGAGCTCTCCAGACCTCTGCCTCGCGGCACGCCGTGCGCGCAGCTCCCCGCGCTGCTGTGTCGTGGGCCGTCTACGTATGAGATCACCACCACGCACCCGCCAAACTCTCTGCTCGAGTTTTGGCGCAACACCACCAATCCTTTACTAACTCGCTCGACAGAACCGATGCTACTCGACCGCTGGCGACAAGGTGGCCAAGTATAACGGTACCAAGGATGCCAATGTACGTTTTGCGCTCCCTCATAACACAGCATTTGGATGATCCTAGCGTTCGGCTGGGCCGAGCATGGTGCCGAGATAAAATAGCTCAGTCACAACGCTTGGCTACAGCCTCGGTCACAATTGACAGTTTGCTAACATGATGCGCAGGGCAACTTTCTTGTCAGCTTGATCGAGGGTGACGGTATCGGCCCCGAGATCTCCCAGTCCGTCAAGGACATCTTTGCCGCCGCCAAGGTATGTCATGACAACTCCAACTCGCCTCGTGTAAGACAAGAAGGTCTGTGCTAACAACAACAACTTCTAGACCCCCATTGCCTGGGAGCCTGTCGACGTCACCCCCATTATTAAGGATGGCAAGACCGCCATCCCCCAGGATGCCATCGACAACATCGAGAAGAACAAGGTTGCCCTCAAGGGTCCCCTCGCTGTATGTTAACCCGAGCGCAAATCCGTCGCATCCGGCGCACCTCGGACAATGAATGACCATGTCCTCTAACATGATACTCCAGACCCCCGTTGGCAAGGGCCATGTCTCCCTCAACCTGACCCTCCGCCGAACCTTCAACCTCTTTGCCAACCTGCGACCCTGCCGCTCCGTCGCCGGCTACGAGACCCCCTACGACAACGTCGACACCGTCCTGATCCGAGAGAACACCGAGGGCGAGTACTCTGGCATTGAGCACGTCGTCGTCGATGGTGTCGTCCAGAGCATCAAGCTCATCACCCGCGAGGCCAGTGAGCGTGTCCTCCGATTCGCCTTCCAGCACGCCGAGTCCATTGGCCGCAAGAAGGTCCGTGTCGTCCACAAGGCCACCATCATGAAGCTCTCCGACGGTCTCTTCCTCAAGGTCGCCCAGGAGGTTGCCAAGGACTTCCCTGGCATTGAGTTCGACGCCGAGCTCCTCGACAACAGCTGCCTCAAGATGGTCACCGACCCCACCCCCTACAACGACAAGGTCCTTGTCATGCCCAACCTGTACGGTGACATTCTCTCCGACATGTGCGCCGGTCTCATCGGCGGTCTGGGTCTTACCCCCTCGGGCAACATCGGTGACGAGTGCTCCATCTTCGAGGCCGTCCACGGTTCCGCCCCCGACATTGCCGGCAAGGGCCTGGCCAACCCCACCGCCCTCCTCCTCAGCTCCATCATGATGCTGCGACACATGGGTCTCACCGAGTACGCCTCCCGCATTGAGACCGCCATTTTCGATACCCTCGCCGAGGGCAAGGCCCTGACCGGCGACCTTGGCGGCAAGGCCAAGACTCACGAGTACGCCCAGGCCATCATCTCGAGGCTGTAAATACCCTCCCACCCACCTACCTAGTTTAGATACCTGCTGCTTGGCCCGGATGTAGGCGCGTTTTCCTTTTGGGGAGTGTTTGATGTAAACTGTACCACACCTAGATTCAGGCTACGGCGAAATGATTACGGAGTTGTCCTTCACACACAAGAGACTCGGATTTCTCACGAGAAAGCTGGTGACGCCCAGACTATACACACGGTGACAGTGCGAGGGTTTGGCTGCTGGTGTCTTGGTATAACGAGATGTAGTTGATGCATGAATATGATTTCTTTTGTTGAAGCAATATGTGGTTCATTTTAGATGTGAATTTGTAATGCATTTCTATAAGTGACGCAAATATGCACGCACTCCAACTTGTCTTTGAGCTATTCTTGTGGTGTTGAACCGCTTATCTGGCGGGGTTCTTTATCAGATAAGCGGCCGGCCGAGCTAGTAAAAACATCCAGGGTAGTTAGAGGTTCCTAAAACGTGGGGATACTTGACTACCTACTTACTCTGAGTTACGAATACCTTCACAAAGAATTCATGCAATCGGGCGGATGGTTTAGTGGAATAATACTCCTATTGTTGATTACTGTTGGAGTGGTCCAGGGTTCGAGTCCCTGTTCGCCCATAGCTTCAACGGTCAGATTCGGTCAGATTCCTGTCGTTGTTGCGTTCTCCTTTTTGGGTAAATAGGCAGCAACCAGATCTAAGCCAGCCACAAAGTAACACGCTCGAACCAGGTTTCATAGTTTCCATGGAATTAATAACTTTTATTTAATCCTCTAGTAGGAAGACTATTAAATATCATCCCAAAAGAAAGGAAACATCCACATGTCAACGCTCTCACCCACCCCTTTCACACATCTTTAACCCATACTCTCCCATCACTTACAACTTAAAAGCCAATGGACTACTGGCAACAGGCATGATATTAGGCACCAAGGTAATCCAGTCGACCATTGGGTTCTTCAACAACACAGCTTCACATAAATTCACAATGATAACAACATCACATCTCCACTCAGTAGTAACAGGGCATGATTTTTGATCCCATGATATACTAGAGGCCTCAACTCCCAATTCGCTTGAAATCAAGCCCCATTAAAATGCGTCGCTTCGTAACATACAAACGAACAAACCCTGAATCGTGATACCTCGCTATATCCAATCGCCCCATGAATCGCTCCTCCAAGTCCTTCCCAAAACCGATGCTGAGGAGCCAAAAGCATCATTTTCCCATCACCAAATAGCCATGATTTCCAAGTGCTTCGTTCCCAATACCCAACCTACCCACGACTTTATAGTCGTCCAGTCCGAATCTCCTTGTCAAAGATTCTGACCCCCCAAACTTCGAAAAACTGCAACACCCCAACTGTTTTGAGCCGAAGCCGCCTTCCACAGTTTGATGCATCGTCGTCATCGTCGTCGCTTTCACTATCGGACGCCCAAGCCGGCAATACGGGGAGAGCGCTGTCGTTGTGATGAAGCCCCATAGACAGCTTTTCCTTGCCCTTGTCTCTCCTCTTGACCCCTTCTTCAGGAGTGTCCGAAGGCCTGATGACCCGGTCTAGCCTGTCGTCTTCCATTGCAATCCACTCTAGCTTCAGCTCGGGATGATGTGAGAGGTTGTCCACGATGAAGTTGAGAATTTCGCGCATAACCCAGATACAAGTGTCATTGTTCCTGAACCGAAGGATGTTGATAGCACGGAGGTTGACCAATCCAGCAAAGTATTGCATAAAGGCATGCTGTCACTCCTGTTAGCTGTGCTCATTCAAAGATTTCACAAAACTTACCACCGCGTGAATGTTCATACTCAGAGCCAGCTCTTCTAGCTGTGCTCCGCGGTTGCAGATAAGAATCATTGCCTTTTGATTGGCATCCCAGACGGAGCTGTTGGACTCGTCCTTGATCATGAGCCTCTTGAGTGTGGGCATGTGCTTCTTCAACACCAGTCGACGAATCTGATCAATCGTCACGGTAGTTCGAGGTGCAAAGCTCTCGGGCTTGAACTTGGGGCTTCGTTCTAGCATGAAGAGGTCATGAAGCTCATCCAGCTGCGACATGCATGTGAGGAATGCCGTCGACACATTGTCCGTAAAGACGCTCCGCAACGCCAGCGGGTGAACCTTGTTCTCCTTGGAAAGCATTGTCCAGATTGGACTCTGATTTCCCACGTTGAGGAGGGTCAAGTTTCTGATGCATCTCAGGTCAATGGCTCTCGACAAGACGGACGCCTTGACCGGGATGAGGTGGATCCCCAGCGTTTCAAGGGCGATTCCGCGTGTTTCTCGGATGTAGTCGTCCATCGACTTTTGTAGATCAGCACCCTTTCCCTGTGGTTTTTCACCGAGTTCTTTCTGGACTTTGTGAACTTCGGCATCGGTTGCCTTTATCTCACGCTCGACGTCCAAAACGCACTGCTTGAGCTTCTTCATGCGGCCCTCTGCCTCCATGACTTGTTCAATATCCACACCATTGCTGTCAGCCAACAATGTAGTGATCCTCTGATTGAGTGAAATAATGTCGTTCTGAAGGTGCGCCAGATTCAACAGGAACGTCTCATAATCCGACCGCTGGTCATCAAGTGCTTCGAACAGTTTCCTGAGACCGGATTTGGAGATCGCAGGTGGTGTCTTCGATGGTGTCTTTGAGGAAGAAGCCGGCTCCGACGTTTCTTGGGGTTGCGGTTCAGGTTCCTTGTCATCCGAATCCTTGGCTTGCTGTTCATCAGACTCCTCATCCAGGTCTTCCACTGTGTCCAAATGCTCGATTTCGATGTCGTCGGGCGACAAATCGCCACTGGGTCCCTTGTTTTTGGATCGATCAGGTAAGGTCACCGAAGTCTTGTTCTCCGAGTCTGAACTAGCATCCTTCTCGGCCGGTTGCTCTTCACCATCCTTGGGCGCCGTTGAGCTGCTATCGGATGGTCCATCAGGCTGTTGAGTTGGCTGTTCACAAGAGTCTGCATACTTCCTTGCAGCCTTCTCGATCATATCCAAGATGTCCTGCTGCGCAGAGGTGAAGTCACGCGAACCGTTGACATGCGACATCAATCTTGAAGACACGCTCTTGATAGATGACACAAATTCTTCGCGGGGGTCGACCGAGTTGCCGTTATTGTCCGTCTCCTGGTCTTCTGGTTGGCTATGCGCGACATCCCGGGTACTCTTATGCAGTGCCGGCTTCTTGGTGATGGATGGTTCGACATCAAAGATCCTTCCAAGGATAGCTTCTTGCAATTTGCGCTCCTCTTGAGAACGGAATGTCTTTGCAGGGCCAGTCGCATCAAAGTTGGTGCTTTGAGAAGCCGGAACAACCTGGAACTCGTCGTCGACATCGGAATCGTCCGGATCAGAATCGGGTGGTGGTCGCCTCGCCTGCAAGGCCATGGACTCGGAGAGGGACAGGTGCAACTCAGTAAGGGTTGAGGCTGAGTTTCTGACACATGCTTTCAGCTCCGTTACCGACTCAAGACTATCTATATCGAGGACGGAGAGGCTTTTTAGTCTCTTGAATCCTGAAAGTGTCGGAGGCTCCTGAGCCTCTGACCTACGTTTTCCAATCTTTGACCTGGAAAACTGCTTCGACAGAGGCAGCATGGAAGGCGGCGAGGCGCTCAGAACCGGCCCCGAGTTCACACCTCCGGCGAGAGGAGCTGAGAAGACAGGTGGGGGCGGAGGCGGAGGGATGTCATAGTAATGAGCTGTCACTGGTGGAGGATCGTCAATGATCAGTGGAAGAGGGGGCGGCGTCATGTAATAGGTCTCCCCAGCCTGCATGCGAATGTGGAATTTGGTCAATGTCCTGATCTTGTGCAGTTCTCGGTACACAGGCCTGCTAAGTTCGACTCGGATGTTCCATCTAGGAGAAGTCAGTCGCTAAAGGATCAAGGAGAATGAAACAATGCCTGGACATACCTGAAAGTCTCGAGCGACTTGGCCTTCTTCAGAGTCAGGTAGAGAAGAGTATTCAGAAACTTGCCGCAACTAGCACTGTAGAGATAGGGTTTATAGGCATGTTCAGCCTTAATGCCAGTGCTCACCGTATCCATGGACAGTTCCCTGAGATGCTTGGCATAGTTGTACTCGCTCGTGGTGAAGGTGTCAAGGCCACCCGCGAGGCCATCAATAGGGGACTCGAATCTGACATCATCGTCGTCTGGGAAGAGAATGTTGAAGCTGCGGTAGAGCTGAGCAGAGGCGAGGTCGTGGAAGTGCCGGGAGACGAGCGCGCAACATATCAAGTCCGACTGGGAACACTATGAGGGCATTAGCAAATGCGGATACGGTATATATATATCTAGGGCTGCGCACATGAGATAGAATCTCCTGTTGAGTCTCGGCCGGGAGATCCAGAAACGTGAGCGCGGTCCTGGGCGGGGTGGCAGCCTCGTCGCCGGCAGCCTCCGCAACCATGATGTATGAGCGGGGGCAGCGTGGCAACTAGGCTGGCTGGGCCGACGACAATGATTGTCGAGAGGGGTTTGTATGCGGAGTAATAATACGCAGTGGGAGGCGCGGGTGGAGGGATGAGTTCGTCGTCTCGAGGTCGAAAGGGATGGCGGATGAAGCGATGATGGTTCGTCTCGCGATGCGACTTGAGGATGCGATGCGGATGCGCCTGATAGTGATGAACACAAGAGATGGTCGCCAGTAACGAGAGTCACAAAAAGATATAGGCTAATACCGAATGAAGGGAGGCCGAGGTGGCGATTCCAAAAGGTTATATGTTAATACTGTTGCCGCTGTAGTTGCTGGCCGTGTGTTGAATATGGGACGGGTTGAGGAGGGACATGGGTTGGGGAGAAGCAAGCAAGTCAAGTCGCAAGTCGCTCTTGTCGCGGGTCTCAGGTTCCGGGGTCTTTGTTGGCTGGGCCTACCGGCGGATGGCTAAGATGTGGATGCTTGTGGGTGTGGCCGTGTGGGCGTGGACGTGGATGCGGATGCGGATGGTGGGCGGGGCGGATCAACGATTCCCAGTCGGGACCCGGCAGGTTGGGATATGGTGCTACTTTATTAGCACGGCGGTTAAAGGAGTCAATGGAGATGCTGGTGTTTGGTAACGATTCATGGATCAGTGGTTTTCTAAACTGGTTGCCAAGATATAGGGTATCTATTTCATAGACAAGCCCTACCTATCGACTAGCCGGTTTGCATTTCAACAGGCACTTAGCCTACAAGCAAACCTGCGGCTTGTCTCCCGACGGCACGAACCGAAAATAGAGGACGTTAAGCGTGTACCCCCAATGGTCTTGGCGTTTCTCTCCCTCCGGCATTTGTGCGACAGAGAGAAGGCAGAATGACACTGTTGTAAATGTCCGAGATGAAAGTCAAATCGCCTTGTCTACAGGGATCACAGTTGTTTCAAGGTCAAGTGCGTTGACAAGTGTATTTTGGAGTCAGCCAGTCAGCCATTCATTCGCCCGCTAGCCAGGTATCTTTGTTGGTTAGTGGAGATGCTCAGTGCTGTTCTTGATGGAAATCAGAGTCATGGAGGAATACGGTGAAGCCGACAGTGAGGCGTCTGGTCTGCCTAACAATGAATATCGCTGCTGAATTCCCTTCCACAGACTCCGGGCGATCTCATCGACACGTGGCCATACTTGACTTGCAGCCCTGCACTGTC